ACAGTTATACTTGGCTCCAGAATGCCATGAAAATCTTCCCTAGGCCCAGGGGACACTAGGAGAAACAGCAGGGTGAGCTCATTCAGTCCCTAATCTCTACTATTTTTCCCACTACCTAATGCAAATGTCACAGTAGGAATGTAAACTTTACTTTGGGGCTTACATCAGTTTTTGGAGGGTTTTGACAAACTTCTTTCTCCTCCCCCCATAAGACTCAGGGTTGTTTTTCTCTTCATTTTTCCAGAAATAAATATTTATATCAAGAAAAGATTGCCAAGACTTGGAAAGTATTTGAATTATTTAATCAGCCCTATAAAACGATTCACTCTGATTGGTGTTTGAATTGGCTAATGAATTTTAATCTTGGCTTTATCACAAATCCATTAAACAATCACAAAACTACAGGGAAGAACTCTAGGAACTTCCTTCTTCACAAGTTTGAAAAAGATTACATTACCACAAGGTCAAAACCTGGAAATGTACACCTTTGAGTATATTGTTCCAGAATATGAGTTCATTCCTGTTAGATCAGGGTCTCTGAGAACACTCTTGAATCTTGTTATAGAGCTCCTGAACCTAGTCCTCTCTCCTGAAGGTGGTACTCAATCTTGACCATTGAAAGTCCATGTCTATTTGCCTACAGAGTGGTCAGGATGAAAAGCCTTTGTTTCTGGAGTACTTATGACTACATTATAAGACTAGCTAGGTTGACCTTGAGCAAGTCATTTCAATAAAACCTGAGCTCTCATTCCAACACTGACACTTACTAGTAGTGAAGCAATAACTCAATTAACTAACATCTCTGAACCTCAGTTTCCCAAACTGTAAATAACAATAATTCTCCCTCAGAAGGTTGTAAAAGCATCAAGTGAAATCATGGTTATCTAACGTTAGACAAAAATTGGCATGCATGTTTGTATATATGTGTATATCTGTAGACACACACACAAATTCTCCAAAGCTTTTCATTTTTTCCAGGAAGTCCTGGTATCTAAAAAGGTATTAGTTTAGTAGAAAGATGTAATTAATCAATCATACATTTTGAAAATTATAATATTCAATTCCTTTGACGTTAAACCACACATCTATGTATTCTATTTGAAAGATGCGGATGTCATGGAATAAAGTAGGATAACATTTCCTGGATCATTATTAAGTATCAAGTCTCATGCCTTGTCCTTTAATACACTCTTATTTATACCTACACAACTTTGTGCAATGATGTTATCATCACCCTTTATAGATAAACTTGACCCCAGTTACACACTAGCAAGAGGAAGAACCTGGGACTCAAAACTAGATCTGTCATTTGTGCGCCATGTACCCAGCTTCCAAGGTGCCTATTTGGCAGTTTGAAGTAATGACACTTGTTGATCTTTAAATCAAGTTTCTGTTTGCTTGTCAGATTCCTCTAAACAAATGCTTTAGGTTAACTTATGTAATGGGTATGTACAGAATTCTGAAATATCTTTGGGAATAAACAGGGAATTTATATTTCAAGATCATCTAAAAATTCCATTTAACTTCTGGTCTCCAACTCCCACACCTCCTAATTTTCTACCCAGTTGCAAACAAAAGCCAACCAAGCTGGTCCAAACTCTTGGTCTCCATTTCCCCTAGCCACTCAGTGCTAATGAACAGTGAAATGGCTGCCCAGTGGGCAGACACAGGGGCCATGGTTGTCCTCACAGTGGATTACAGCCCCCACAACGGCACAATACACTGGCATTGGCCGACGTTGTAGTGAGGCTGGCATGGCCCCTGAGTCAGGCATGGCCCAGCTGAGGGGCAGACCAGGAAGACTTTGTGCCCTGCTTCCCAAGAGGATGTTCCAGGAAGAAGTCAGATGATTTGAGTTATGGAAACCAAATGGCTCTCCTTTGTTTAGAAGGGAGGGGGGGAAGCCACTCATTTTTGTGGTAAAGTAAAAACAGGCTCCAAACCAAACAGTCCCTCTCAGAGCAGAAAATGTCAGTTCCACAGAGCAGGCCCACAGCCTCAAAAGGCTGACAAAGTGACAGAAGGAAGCATCAAAACTATCCCACAGCCACAACCAGAGCTCCCTGTCCTCCCAGTGAGGGGCTCCTCTGCTTCACCCAGGTCTCCCAAGCAGGAAAGGAAAAGGAAAATGGGAAAATAAGAAATGTCTGCTTGACTAGGCCATGCTCCCCTCCCACTCCTTTCCAGTTAGGACAGAGGGAAGAAGGCAGGAGATGTTAGCAGGGAGCCCAGAAGTAAGCTCAGACACTAATGTGGGAATGTGGCCATGCAGCCCTTGCAGTCACCCTGGCTGCCCTGTGCCACCTCAGATGCCCGCCTCAGTGTGACGCAGCTCTTCCCACAGAATGCAGCCTGGAGTCACAAGGCCTCCTGAGACCACAGTGTGGCTGCCCACAGCTCTGTGGGTGGGAGGCTGCACCTCCAGGTACTGCTAGTGCATGTGCAATGGATAAGCGATGACCATGAGGAAATAAATAGAGATTCTAGTCAGCTATGCCTGTCCCTCATACGAGCTTTCCTTGGAATGGAGGGTCTCTTAGCAAGGAAAGAATACTGAAGAATTCAGTTCTAGTATTGGCTTTGCCTCTGGCTTGCTGTGCAACCAGATGTCACTGTTGTCTCTCTGCACCTCTATTTTGTATCTGAAAAATGAATGAGCCTGATGATTCCTACCCAGTGTTGGCTCACAAGGTTGTCATGGGGAGGGAATGGAGAGTGGCACTTTTCAAGGTGGCTGCTTATTGGATAAGCAGGCAGACTCTGCAGCCAGTCTTCCTGGGCACAGACTTCAAGAAAGGAGTGCTATCCCTCCCTGATAGTAACTGCTAGGCTGGATTTGACTGAGGAGTGCACATAAAGTGCTCAGAGAGCATGCACACCACATCCGCAGGTGAGCCTGGCTGTCATCATCATAGATGGAAAGCTGGATCCAGGCACTGTGTGATCCTCTGCTATCATCATAAGCTTTTGTATTTTATACAAAACACCCTCCCCATTTCTGCACCTTCCATAATCTGCCAACAGCTGGTGTTAAATATAGGGGATACCCAACAATAGCACCATGCTGCTTTTAGAAAAACTCCAAGAAAACCTCATCATGTCCTACACGGCCTTGGTCATTCATACCTGCTGCCTTTTCTAGTCTCATTTTGAGCTGTTGTCCATCTCACATTCAACCACCTCATTGGCCTTCTTTAACCTCTCCAGATATCTAGGCTTCTCCATGTGCAATGCACCTCCTCTTCCACGCCACCTCCTGCTCACGTGACCTTCAGGTGCAGCTTAAATAGCCTTTCCTCAGGGAGGTTTTTCTTGACTTCCCAGATGAGAACTATCCCCCTGTTCTTCTTGTGTGTGCTCCTCACAATTATTAAGTGCTAACTTGTGTGATTACCAGCATGTCAGCTCCATGGGCAAAGGGCTTCATCTTTTGTGTTCGTGGCAAGCTTTAGCACAGTGCTTGGTCCATGGCAGACTCTTAAAGAACATACATTTTTAAATAAAATGAATGTGTTGAATAACTGTCTCTCCTGCAGCTCCTATAAAATTCATGAAAGCAGGGACCTTGTTTCTGTTCTCAAAGCCTGTATCACTAGCATTTAGTAGAATTTCAATAAATATTGATTAAATATGAATAAATGGACAAATAAGTGACTTAGAATATCCTCCTTAACTTTTCACCATGGTTAGATTTCCCTGGACAGCACTCTCTTCCTTCTCCTTCCAGTGGGGACACAGTGCTTAACGTGCAGATGCATCTTCTAAATCCCATCCCTGGTGGCTGTGCCCCATAATTCCAGTCATAGAGTACATGAGGCTTCCTAATTTCCACTCAGGCAAGCATTTAATGTCAACTGTGTTCTATGTGGTCATGACTTGCACATGTCATAAGAGACTTTGGTTTCAGAGCAAAGGCCAGTAGCAGAATAGCATCCTTCAAAAATATGTGCATCCCTTTGTATCTTTCAGTTATAGGTAATGGAAATCACAGCTTGATTGAAGGGACAAATCTTACCCATCTTTGTTTTTTCAACAGGTCTTACCAGTCTTCTGTACATACCAAATAAGTGTTGAGATTAAGGAATTACTATGATCTACTGAGTACAGTAACTTCTCATTCCTCTGTCTGGCCTCAGATCCTAGGACACAATGAAGATCTTAAGGAGCTTCAGGTTAAAGCCATGTCAGTTTTTTCCTGGTCATCCATTAGGATAAGAGCAAGAACTTCCCCACTTCCAAGGTCCCCACACACTACAATCCATCTCCCACAGCCGTGTCTGCTAAGTCCTCCAGATTCATCACATCACTTTTGCTCAGAAACCCTCCAAAGTTCTTTTCATAACTTAGAGAACTGTACCCAAACACCTCCAGCCAACTCAGAGAACTTGGGCCCAACTTCTTTCTGTGCTGAGCTTTTCAAGTCCTGCTGACCTACTCTGGGGCACGCCCTTGTTGCCCTGTCTTTGATAGTGCCAGGCCTCCCACCAGGAATTCCTCTTCCCCAGCTCTCCACTAAAACACAGCTCATGTTCTGGATTTTCCTAAGACCTGACCGTGCCACCCACATAAAGGAAGTCCTGTCTCCTGAAGCCCAGTGATAATTTGATGTAGCCACTTCTTGAATTTGTCAGCACAATTTTTTCACAAATATAGCTTCTCTCTCAAACTAGACTTGGATATGAAGCTTCTTAAAACAAGTCTACTGTTTTCTTGTTTTCCCTCATTTATTCCTGAGGGAAAAGTAAATTCAAACTGTATCATAAGAGAATCTAGTTGCTCACTAGTTGACTCAACTGCACAAGGAGTCAGGAGATTAGTATTCATGCAAGAGCTCTTGAGTTCACAGCAAAGGATGTTGGAGCACAAGAGGAGTTTTTATTTCCCAAAATTCTTTGTTTTTGTTGTGTCTCCTTGGACTTGGTTGATGGTCTCTAGAAGTCATGGAATTTGAAAGTTGAACATTCCTCACTCCTCTTAATCTAGTGTCGTCCTTTTTACAGATGAGAAGCCCTTTGCTGTAGAAGATACTTACTTGCTGTGTCCAGCACCCATCTTAAAAGAAGTTGGCATGTAAGTTTTCACCATCACTAAGCCTTATAGCTAGGAAGGAAAGGGGAGGCAGAGGGGACAAAGAGAAAAGACATCCTTCTCCATTGTCATCATGAGGCCTTCCTCTATAGGAGTCTAGTAAGGATGGTACCAAGGACTACAGCCAGCCAGGCACCAAAAAAGTGTTTTTATAGGGTATATCTCTTCATCCTCCCCATTCCTTCCATACAGCAGTCAGTAGAAGCCTGGGCTCAACCCCAGGTCTGCCTGACTTAAGCCCAAATACATTTCAAGAAAGCTCTCACATGCATTTCCTCACCTGTAATCATCAGTTCCCTTCTAGGTGATTGTTGTCTTCTTATTTTAGAGAGAGAAACCCAGAAGAGTGAAGAAGGGTTGGACACCATGGCTCACACCTGTAATTCTAGCTACTCAGGAGGTAGAAATCAGGAAGATGGCAGTTCAAGGCCAGCCCCCGCAAATAGTTCACAAGACCCATCACAAAAAAGGGCTGGCGGAGTGGCTAGGCAAAGTCCTAGCAAGCATAAGGCCTTCAGTTCAAACCCAGTGTCACCAAAAAAAAAAAAAAAAAAGCAATGTGGTCTTCTGCTGGTTCATGACAAGCTGAGACCTCAGACTCAGACCTTCAGCATCCCCACAGTGCTCCTACCTCACTCCTCCACAGAACCTTGGGTTTTCTGCAGACAAAATTCCCTGAACTCATCTACGGGGAGCAGTTCTTGGTGGTGCCTTTATAATAAGTGCTAATGAGATGAGGTCGAAGTGCTCAACAGAAGAAAGAGGATTAGCATCTTGAGCTAGAGAAGAATTATTTTGGGAGACAGAGAGGCAGTGGTGGTACAGAGAACAGGAAACAGCCACTCAAAAATCATGTCTAACAGACTGGAGACTGGATAGTTTTACGGGAAAAAGTTGTCTGAATCCTGCTTTCAGCCATTCATTCTCATTATAAGACCTCCACCTTGGTACCTGACATCAGCCTGTTATCCCATAAGCTAGCCCAATGTCCTTGCAACAAAATTCAAGGACAAATGTTTTAGTGAGCTCTTACAGATGGGAGTAGATAGTAGACAAATTAGCTCATCCTCTACTGCCATACAGGCCAAATAGCCACAGCGAAACTTCGAGCTGACAGTTCACCCAGTTTATCACCACTGACTTGAACTACTTTTAAGAACACTTTGTCATACAAAGTGTGACAAGTTAAATAGAAGCATACTTTACTCACCCAATGTAAGTTGCTGCAATGCCATGCCTTTTCACATCAGCCAAGCAAACCCTGACATCTCTAGAATGTCAGAGGCAGACATGCCAGAGCAACCTGTCCTCCACAGTTTACAAGGAAGAAACTTAGGCCCCAAGGGGAAGAGACTGCAGTCCCCAGGGCAGTTAGGAGCAGAGCCCAAAGGAGACTTGTGTGTCTGGTTCTCAGCCCATTGCTCACTGCAAACCCTACTGAATGTCTCTGGTTTCCTTGTTGTCATTGCAGGAAAGCCGCACTCCAGGTCAGCATGAACGATGGCCTCTCTTTTATCTCCAGTTCTGTCATCATCACCACCACACACTGTGTAAGTCATAACTTCCCCCTTTAGTAAAGACCTCATTATCATTATCTCAGTCACCAACTTTTCTTAAACACCACTCTTCTCCAACAGCACCTTGGGAAGTTTTCTGGATCTTTGTTTTGTTCACTGAGCTTTGATCATAGCACTGCTAGGCAAGCCATGGGCTGGATCAGGGTGTGCTGTACCCTGGAGTGTATCGGGAATGCCTGTGTCCAGTCCTCCGGGTTCCCCCGTTCTGGCATTGGGGAGTACGCTGAACACACTTTCTGCCCATATGGTAAGATGGGTTGTCTGTGCAATAGTGACAATGGGCACCTGGATAGGGTAGACCTAAGAGAGAATGTACAGAAAGGAGTTGGACTTCTTATTCAGAAAGCATGTCGTAAGGAGTTTTTCTCTAAAGGGAAGCAGGAAAATGGGCACTGACTGGAGGAAGATGTAGAGTTTATGGAGGAACCTTTTATTTAATAATGGGAGAAATGGAAACTTGTTTATACAATTGTGGAAATAATCCAGAGAAAAATGGAAAATTGATGAAGCAAGAAAGAGGGGGCAAAGGGGGCCTTACATTAGACAGTGAAATAGGAGTGGGAGCAGCATTCTCTTGTCCTATATCCCCTCTCTGAATCCATCTTGTCAGATAGTTTTCATTTCTAGATCTACATAAAATCACCTGGAGAGCCTCTATTTATTTTTTAATTGGTGGACATTAATCATACATAGTAAGTGGTTTTATTATGACATTTTTATACATGTGTATAATGTATTTTGAACATATTCATCCCTCCAGTACTCTCTTATCCTTTTCCTCCTCCCCATTTTCCTTTTCTCATCCACCTCTCCAGTAGTCCCCCTCTATTTTCATGACATTATTTTGGGTTTGGTTTCTTTTTCTCCCTGGCTTCCATAAATGAAAGAAATTTACCTTTGTAGACTGCTTTTTTGACTTACAATGATGATCATCTGCAGAGCTCTCAGATGATGATACCCTCATCTCATGCCAGACTGACTAAACCAAAGTCTCTAGCATGAGCCCTAGCTTTGGTGTCTTCATTGCCTCCTGGGGAGGCTATGGCATGCAGCCTTGGCCAAGAATCCTTAAGCCTCAGTAGTTGTTCCTGCCCATGGCCAGTGTTTCAAGGCTCAGTTAGCTCACACAAAGAACCCCACCCCAACAGGAGCATTTCCAAAATAACTTTTGGATATTCAATTTTATTTAATCAAATGCATTTCCTCCATTAGATCGTTCTAGCAACTAAGGTGTTTAGTCTGACAGTCAACTTACATACTTGCAATGGTCAATTCCTGATTGGCCTTTGGAAAACCTGTTGGTAGAACTCCTCAATAATTAGGATTGTGTCCTTAATACCATCACAGGTGGAGGAAAGATAGCAAGCATGCCCCAAAGCCAGATGAGATAAAAATAAGTTACCTTGTAAATGCATAGGAAGCCAGGTCTTATTATGGACAAGACTGTCCTATCTATAGTCCTATAGCTACTATTCTTCCTGAATTAGAGGTAAACCAATTTTCTTGAAAGATGTAAGCCAGTGTAAGGGGTACAGATAATAGAAGAGCTTAACTGGGCCAAATGAGACTAAGATTAACATAGAAAGGTGTCATCAGTGAGAAAAGTTCATGTCTCAGACATCTGGTCAACCTTCAATTCAGGATGCCTGGGCAGGACACCACCAAATTTGAAAACTGTATGCAGAAGCAGTGAAATGTCTAGTGTATCCTCCCTGATTCTTTTGAAATTGACTCTTATAGAACCTGCCAACATGCAGAAAATGATTAAAATACCCCAAATCGAATAAGTCCATTCCAGATTACTCCCAGTTTTTGAGCAGTCCAACAGTGTGGACCTGTATTTCTCATTGTGTCTGATCATACCACAGAGAAATAATTACTGCCCTTGAGACCACAGAGCAGGGGAAGTGGGAAAGAAGAATGAATGCCTTAGGACCAAGTTTGTGATATGAAAAATACAGGGCTATGTTTTTTCTGTGGTACTGGGAATTGAACTTGGGACCTTGTGCTTGGTAGGCAGACACTCTACCACTTGAGCCACATACCCAGCCCTTCTGCTTTCAGTTTGTTTTTCAGATAGGACCCAGCCAGCCTCAGACCACGAGCCTCCTACCTCTGGCCCCCAAGCAGCTGGGATTATAGACATACACCACCACACCTGGCTAGGGCTACAAATTTAAATCTCTGAGTATCTAAAGAACAAAGTGTGTTCTTACCAATGATTTAAAAAATTAAAAGAATTACTAGTAAATTCCCACCGCATCTTCCCAACTCAATCTACTGACATCTTCCATTGCCCTCATTTGAATGCATGTCACTAAGTCTTTTGTTCAACCAACCCTTGATTAAATCATTTTATAGTATATTCTGCACTAATCCCTTTTCACTTGAGAAGACTGTATTAACCTGCAACAAAATTATAACAACCGCTCCAAGAGCTGAGATCCAAGTCCTTTCATTTACTTACTCAACAAATATTCATTAAACATAATACATAAGTTACATACTTGTTAAAAGGTAACACATACTCTAGGAAAAATTGAACAGATTAAGAGAGTTAAGTACTGCTGGGATGAATGGGTTCCAGTGTAAATAGATATATTGAAAGTGTGGCATTTGAGCAGAGACCTAGATAGTGAGGTAGTTAGCCATGAATGTGGAGAGAGGGTAGAACATTCCAAACCAAGAACCCTATTGCCAAGACCTTGAGGCCAGAGACTCCTGGTGTTCAAGGAAGAGCAAGATCAGAGGTCAATCTCTGGGAGGAAATGAGTGAGGACAGCAGCAGGCAAAGAAGTAACGGAGAGTACAGGGCTTTGTAAGGATTTGAACTTTGCAGGAGAGGAGCCACAAGACTGGACACCCTGTCTGCTGGGACAGCCAGTGGGTAGACAAGAAGAAAATGATGGAAGTAGTCAGGCTAGTTTAAAGGATTCTGGTAATATTTCAGGCAGAAGGTGGTGGTGGCTTGAATCAAGACAAGGCAGTGAAGTTAGAGGGAAGAGGCAGTGAAGTTGTAGGGAAGTGGTCAGAGTTAGATACATTTTGAAAGTAGATCTGTAGATTTGCATAGATGTTGGATATGGGACTTTAGAGAAGGAGAGGAATCAAGGATGGCCCCAAGGTTTGGGCCTCAGTAACTGAAAGGACAGAGTTGCCATCAACTGACAGACACGAGGAAGACTGAAGGAGAGAAAATTTGGGGACAAAGGGGGACATTGGCAGATCAGTTTTGTTAGTTACTAGTTGTATAGCCTGATCAGATTATTTAGTTTAATTATTTATTTGTGTTTCCGTTTTCTAATCAATAAAAATAAGATAATAACAGTTTACATGTTTTATAGTATTATGAACATTAAGCATAAAGTGCTTCGGACCTGGCAGGTAGTTAAGTGCTCAATACACGTTAGCTGTTGTAGTACAGAACAAAAATTCAATCAAAAGTTTTGAACTAGCCAGGCATAGTGATACATGCCTTTAATCCCAGCACTTGGGAGGCTGAAGTGGGAGGATCATGAGTTCAAAGTCAGCCTGGGTTACATAGTGATATTCTGTCTCAAAAAAAAGGCAAAAAAATTTTGAACTAACTGGAAATTTTACCTAGAGTGTTGGCTCCTCAATAAGGAGTTCCATTATAACACAGGGATTCTTCTGAGACAAGAGGCATCCTTGGGAGTTACATGTTTGTCACTTACCCAAGCTCAATTGATTGGAAGAGGGCAGACAAGATGGCCAAAATCCCCCCAGGAAAATAGACTTGTATTCAAACATAAGACTTCAATCTCCATCTAGGCCCTATGCAGAAGTACAAATTAAAAGACTGAAATGATCACAAGGAAAAACAGAGATGTGGTCACACAGAAGATGAAGTAAGGTCTTGGACTTGTATGTGTTTGGAGGATATGGCTTTTATATCAAAAATGATCCCCTGAGTCTGAGTAAAGGGTTAGTCTTGTCAGTGCCAGTCACAGTCTGCCCAGTTCCTCACCTGGAACCAAAAATCAACTTAAAATATGCAGTTGAGATTTTCTCACTTTATTTAGTGCCCATTTGGACAACTGTGTCACAGGTTTTCAAGATCCACAATGAATAACTATTGCCCCTGCCAGAAGCAGAAATTCCATGAAGTTTTACAGGAAGGAGTTTTTTTCCATCCAAGAGCTAAAAGGTTCCTACACAAATGGTAAACTTTGTTGAGCTCCATGGCTATAGAAATTGGGTGAGAGCCCTCTCTCACCCGCTCTTTCAATACACACTGCTCTCCTTTTCCTCCCCAATCTGGAACCTTAAGTTGAGAAAATCATTAATATGGTGCAATTTGAAAGGAAGTATTGAAACGTCTGCCCTTTTGATAACAAAGCAAGTAAATTTTAGTACCTTAAAAAAATTGTGTTTATCTTCTTTTAAACAAATATTTTACAGTTTTACAATGTCCCCTCAAATGGTACAAAACTCAAGAAATCATTCAAAAAATATTTCTTGAATTGCTGCTGCATCACCTGTGTCCCAAATGCATTTTACCAAGTTGCTATTAAAGTGATGAATCCAAAAGCCCATATAAAGTATATAATAAAGAACAGAATTGTATGAGTCAGGTATAAATGCTATAGGATTTCAGAGAGGGGAAAGGAGGGTTGGAGCCAGGAGGACTCATGAGATCTTTATAGAGGCGGTAATACCTGAGTGGTGATTTTTAAAATTATAACTACAGGCAAAGAAGTGGGAAGAGACCATTCTGTAAAGAAAACCAACCTGAACAAGAGCTAGATATGTGTCTGAATTTTTTCATGGTCTCTCCCAGAGCTCTAACTCGGTTTTTCCTTTTCCCTCTCCTTTTGTATCAATTTCTGATACCTTTTGATTGGGAGCCATTTCTCAAGTTGACAACTACTTCTCTTCTAGGATGTATATCCATACCGTTGATCTTGGTGACCCCAATATGTGTTAGTGAGTCCTAGCTGATTCTAATTGCT